GATTGGATCAATATCCATCTGTTGGCTGAACCGGTTTCGGCTGGACTGGTTGGGCTGGCTGGACTGGCTGGGCTGGCTGGGCTGGCTGGGCTGGCTGGAAGGAAAACGCTTCGAACGCCTCTCGGCGCTCTGCATGGTCTCTACGTACTGATCGTACGGAAGGCTGAAGAGAGAGTCGTTTAACTCCTCGAGCTTCTGCCTGAGCGACTGTCGGAGACCGCGATGCAGCGTTGTGACGCGGGAGATATCTGGCCACGAGGAAGCCTTTGCTTCAAACGATAGCCGCTCGAATCGCGCAAGGTAGGCGATTAGCGACTCATCGTCCCTCTGGCGGATCTGGGAGAAACGCTGGATTGCCTCTTGTTGCTCACGTGGATTGTGGCAGAGGCGCTGGAAAAACGAAAAAATCTGTTCTGGGTCCCAATCTGAAAGCTCTTCAGACTGTTCGCGGAGGTGGAGGATAGACGCCTGTTGAGGCTGCTTAAGACGATCCCATACGTAATCGAAGGCATCAGCTCCTGTGAGCTGGTCGGATCGGAGTTTAGCTCGGATAGACGGTAACCATGTGCGCAGCGTGTGCGGTTTGCCGTCGAACTTGGGCGGGTCTGGTAGGCGCACTCGGACTCGCGTCTGAGCGTCGTTCGGGTGCTGGCGGGACTGAAGCTGGAGCTGGAGCTGGGCGACGCTGTCGCGCAGGGAGGTAATCTCTGATCGCTGGTTCTGGAGCTCTTGCTGGAGCTGCTGTACGAGCAGCAGAAGAGCGTTCTGGTTCTAGCTGGGGCTGGACATAGTTCTGGTGGATAGTAAAAAATTTTCTGGCGAGGGCTAGACGCTTGTCTGATCTCCTCTTAGCTAGCTGGTGATCGAATACAAAATGTAAGGGGCTCGACCCCGGAGGGTAGTCTTAAGCTCGGGAGCACGATTGGACAGGCCAAGGTAACAAGATTGTATTCAATAGAGAGCTAAGCTCTCGGCTACGTAGCTATCTATATACAATGCTGGTTGCTAGGGTAACAATCAGGCCGGGCAGGTGGAGTAAACGAGGTCGTAGACGAGTATGGGAGGCGAAGGGCGTTCAGCCCGTTACAAAAGACTAAACTAGTAAATTAGACTAGATCAAAAAAGGATCAAGATTCTCTCACACTACCCACCTAGGAGACCTTTTAACTAAAACAGCAAATTAGATAGCTAGGCATCTACTTTGACAAAGCTCTTAAGTTTAAGGATCACTACTTTATTAGAAATCAACAGGCAAACCAAGCCTTTACTCGGCTAAGCAGACTAGCAAATAGCAATAAAGGCCTATCACCTAGAGCCTTTAGACAATTATACCTTGCCTGCATCA